CAAGCGGGAACATCGTGACGAAACTCGAGGAAAATCAATAGAGCCGGGCACCGACAAAATACAACGCCGACCGCGCGATGCAGTCCGCGGCGCGGCGGTGTCTCGCGCGGACGGGATATAGATGAGAACATAAATAAAAATGGCTTTCGATTCACGCGTACACCTCTGCGCTATAGTAATTCGGCGATTGCCGTAATTTTTTAATAAGCGCGCTGCTCGAAAAAGAGTAGGAGATTTTGCCGCCCGCGCGATTCTGCATGAAAATTAATACGTATACGGCTTTTTGCGGCCGGCCATCTCACGCCGACAATTTACGAGCCGAATCGCGCGTATCACGAACCTCACGAAGGACAAAACTATTTTGTCTCTCGTGTTTTTCTCTAGCGATGAACTAATAATACAAACGAAACTAGAAAAAATAGACTCCGGGGAAGAAAAAAAAAGAGAATAAATTTTTATATTGTAGTATATCCAAACTAACAAGATGGAATAAAAATAAATAAGAAGAGTTTAAAATTGGACACAGTTAAAATCTAAATGTAATATGGAACATCCTGTGCATACCGCAAATTAGAGATCCCGTACATTACCGCAAATTATACAGCAACTACCCTTGTCACATACCTTGCCAAAGAGCAACGTCGCACAAAGGTATTGCATGCATGCATTGGCATCGTATATCGCCTCTAACAAGCGGACATAATTATTGATGGATGATTCTTCCTGCTTCGCGTACGGAGTAGAAAAATCGAATAATCAAGAATTTAATTTCTGTCGCTTAATCCGGTTGTCCGCGACAATTTGATCCGCACACCCGGTTGCTTTTCCGGATAAGCCGATTTCCCGATAAATCCTTTTTAATTAAAAGTCTCATTAATAATTGGAAACGTTAATTGAAAGTCCTATTAGCATGATATAAGTGTCGAGTAGCACCAAAAATCGATTCGCGAGCAAATAAACTTTTCCGCCATTCGATCTCCAAATTATTCACTGCAATGAACGTAATGGACACGTATATGTATCTATTTTTCATCACAAATTTGTGGCACTCTATAAACATTTAAATAAAGACTGCTATTTATTTTTATATGTTAAATTGCTATGGTTAAAAACTGCATTTACAACAATTTAACATATTATTTAAAATGTAAAACGTGTTTTAATGTAAATATGTTTAATGTAATCTCTCTTTCTCTCTCTCTCTCTCTCTCTCTTTCTCCCTCTTTCGCTCTGTGTAAAGTGATAAAAACATAAGAGTAAGGTAATATTTCTGTTAAAATTTAAGGAGAAATAATTCGTACCTTGCATAAGAAGGCTGACGATGTAAATGCGCTTTCGCTGGAATTTCCGCGGAATATGACCTATTGTATCAGGGTTTTAAAGACGACCGGCGCAACAAACTCTTGAGTTTGCCTTCTATGAAATCGCAAGGGGTATTCGAGATCGTAATTTATAGCGCGGAACGCAATCGCTTTATTTCGACTTGACTAAATTTGCCGCTTCCAACTCGCCTCGTCCGCCAGTTATGTTTACGCGCGGCGGAACTTACAAAACTTAACTGAATTAACTAGTTAACAAGTAGATTATGCACACGACATTTAGCTGCCAACTTCGTGAGCCCGACAGACTTACAGTTTTCCGTATCAAAGTACGAAGTAACCCGTGGAATTCGCCAGTAAATTAGAAGCAAAACTACGTCCCGTTATGCTCGTCTAAAGAGCATAGGGATGTCTGATTAATTTTGCATTAACCTCTGCCGTTAGTACAGTCTAATTGAATTCATGGCGGAACAAGCTACATCCCCGTGTATGTCATGTAAGCATGCACGCCGAGGTATTCTTCCATCTCGGAGAAGATTGCGCGTATATTTCAATTTCACATCTCGTTTCGCTTTGGAAAGACTGAAAAATTGTACCTACTACACTTCCATCCCTCGTCATTCAGAGGAGACTAGTTTTTGTTTGAAAAACAATGTATCTTTTGTTTGAATTAAAATATTATTTATTAAATAAAAAAATATCGTGGAAATGTATGAAATATTTGTAACTATTGAACGAGAAATATTTTCGTCTCGCGGCTACCAATACGTATGCACTCCGCACACGATACGCGATTGCAGAAAATATAATTTATTTTACGATTTCATTTAATTATTACCATAGTCCGTACCGTGTTTTATAATATAGGCAGTAGTATAAATCACCAACAATTTCACAATTGCCAACACGCGACGAATTATTGGTACGCACGGCGGTGTGCCCGTGAAAAAGCCATCCCTTTATAATATTTTGGCGTTACATATTTTTCATGAAAAATCGACAATAATTTTCTGGAAATATTCGTAAAAGGAAAATTCTTGATCCCGGTGCGCTTTAGGTAAACAATTGTTATAATAGAGAAAGAGAAATTTTAATTAAATTTAGTCTCAAATTGATTATATTTCTCCATTGTTAACATACATTTTCTATTCGATTTTTTCGAGCATAATGGCTGAATAATGGCAGCAATATCGACAAAATATTATTTAAATTTTTAACGCGAGAAAAAAAAAGTGTATCAAATCTTTTCAGGAAAATCGATACGAATTACTTTGAGATCTCTTCAATGTATTGAGCGTTATTTCAACGCGTAATGTATTTAGATCGTACAATCGAAATAAACTATAATCCGACATCTGTTGTTTCCTCTAATGAGAAATCATTCGCTAGTACAGATAAAATAGCAATTGTATTTACAATCGAAACAATGCTCTGGACAAACAATAAATGGCTCGATTTTGTGTCTCATCCACAAACCACCGCGCCATCGCCGTTATTGCTCATTAGCGTGACGCATAAAAGCGGTTTGTCCGCTGGCGGCGTGCACGTAATTTCCACGATAAATATATCCGACTTGAAATTTTTGAATTAACCGTACGTTAATATAATTGCATCAAAAAATCGAACGGGTTTGCGACCAAACATCCCCCTTGTTTATCCGGCGAACCGCAAAACATGTTAGTTATTCCCGATTGTACTCTCCAACTTCAAAGGAACCTAATTACCTTTCCCGTAAAATCACGACACATTATATTTATTCTCTCGCTGTTTCAACATGTTTTGCTAATTTTTAGATTTTTTCAACTCACAAAAGAGATCGAAAGAGAGTGAGAAAGAAAATATATAAACAAATTATAATAACGAGCCTCAATATTATTTAATTCTCGGTTTAATTAATTATGATGTAATAACCGCAGGATATTACAAATCTAAATAAGGTGCACGTAATTGCAGTAGCGTTCGAGCGAAGTGATTGCGCGTCGATGTTTTTTTTTTCTTTTATGTCTGCGGTACGCAGACTGTGAAACTTCGATCAAAATTCAGTAAAATTCACATTGCGACGTGGAACATTTTACATTATAACTCGTACGGTTCTCGTGTCAGCTCTCGTATTAGGTATTACACGTGAATTAGGTATTGCTCTCGGCCGTGAAGTGGAGTAGTCTGTCGACGCGCGCAGAGAGTGGAAAAAAAAAGGAGTAAAAATATCAAATCGCGCAGAGCGTGTCGGGCTAGAGCGCGTGTACGCGAATCGATTCGAAAAGAGCAGCCCGGACTGCGCTCGGGCAATTTTCCGGGCGTCCCGAGCGCAAAAACCGCCGCGTGCGCGTCACAAAGCGTAAAATGTATAGAAGCGTGCTGTCATAGAACGCTGACACGACGCTGACGAAATAAGCGGACAGGTGCGGACGACTGGCCGATAACCCGATGACCCGGATACCTTCGATGATATCGATTAGCCGTCGAATGTCGGTGCAGTCCGCGACCATCAAACGCATCGGCACCTCGTCGTGTCACCCTCTTACCCTCCCGCCCCCTCCTCTATCCTCTCTAACCTGTCATTTTCTGACCGTCGTCCATCCCTCGATCTCTGAATTACTCGATCTCTTGTATCTCTTGTACTTACCCGACCTCGCCTGTCGACGCCCTCCACGCTCGACTGACCCTCGTCCTTCCGTCCCTCGCCGCGGTGTCCCTTCTCTTGTTCCCGTCGCGCGCGGCGAAATTGGATTTATGGCTTTATTTTCCTCCTTTGCGGACGTCTATCAGCAGATTGCTCACCAAAAGCGCTGCTTCGTATTACGACGACATAATGGACGTCCCAGGCTGTGGCGACCCTCCGCGTTGTGCAGAGAGCGGGGCGTAATCGAAAAACCTTAAACACAAACGTGATAACAGACGCGGTTCGCTTTTTCTCTTTTTACACGCGAGAGAGGAGGCGGCTGCATACGTTGCTCTCGTCGAAACGACGTCTTTTCGAAATTTGAACGCTACGTTACGTTTCGTGAGTTCTCACGTAATCGCAATTTAAATCAAAAAGCTCCGGTTAAAAAAACCCCGTGGGTTAAGGGACGCGGTCCTCGCTTTCCAGCCGCGCGCGCGTTCGCGAAACGCAATTTCGCAAAATCTTCATCGCGGTCACGAAAGAGCCCGAGATCGATTGATATATATCTCGACGCATTTCGGAATCGTTTCGACAAGAGATATTGCACGTCAAAACGCGCCGCGATTGAACAGGATAGAATTGTTTGGCGCGCCGCTCTGAAATATAATTGCGCAAAGTGATTGTGGCCGGCGCGCCATTTTGCGACATTGAGCAAAGTAATTGCTACGCACACTTTGCGTGCTTCGTGCGTTTTTACTTCTTCCGCTTCCCTCGCGCCAATCGTAAGTTATACCTGTGTCTTGCTTCGAGCACGAGAAGCAGCGAGGTAGGGCGTACCGACAACGAAAGAAATACGTAATAATTTACCTAGCGCTCCAATGCGTGCCGCACCGCCGCCGTTCGTCTGCGCGCCATCGCCGCCGTCGGCCGTACACATGCGCAATGAGCGCCACCACCGGCGTCGCCGTTCGGCGCCTGCGAGCCAGCCGGTCGGTCTGAAGTCCGCTGCGAGAGCCTGCGAGGCGTGAAGAGCCGAACGTGGCCGATCACGTGACTACGTGAGCCCGAACCCCGAACGAAGACTCGGCTGCTTGATTCGCGCGCTTTCCTCACCTGTTGCGTTCAGCGGTATATGCGCGTATTGTTTCGGTTTTCTCGTAGAAGCGCGAAAGTCAGTGATAGTTTAACACCTTGCGCGGCTGGCCTTGTACTTCGAGTGAGTGTACGTGCGCGTGTGTGTCTCATTTCGAAAAGTGCAGGACGCTTACTTTGCGTTAGCGCGCGCCTCACCTCGCCGCCGCTCGCGACATAACCTAAAATTCGACGCGCGGCGTCGTCGCCGGTGTTGAACATTCCGCGAGGTAAGTACAACAGGGTTATTCGTCGTCGTTAAGCTCGTCAGCGAATGTTCGGAATAGAAATTGTATCGTTAATTAATATTGAGAAAAGGAAATTTACGCTGTTGTCAGTGTTTTTTGTCAAGTAATATTCGTAAAGCAGTCATATGTTTAAAAACGGAGGAGGCGACTGTTTTTATTTTAGTTTTCAATTGAGGCAGCTTTCGAGAACGTAAATTTAAATAAACTTCTTATATTTCCGAATATTTACTGGACGTTATATAATTTTAAACGGTAGGCTAACGAAATTAGAAAGAGGAAATTAATGTGCAATGTTTGTTTTACAGTTACTGCAATCGTAGGAATCATTGATAGGCTGAGACATAAATATTACACATTGAAAATTTTGCAGTGAAAAATTGCTCAAGCCATGGCAGATTATCTTTCTGCTGAACTCACTGCCACTTGTGCTGTAATTGGATATTTCGATGGCACTACCTACCACTTAGACAAGAATTGCTTAGGTAAAGATCTTCGCCTTGATTTTATTCCATTTAATTATTAAATACAATTATTTAATTACAAATTGTGCGTTTAAGTGAGAATAACGTTTTAACGTTTAATAGTACATTATCAATTTCTTAATAGATGTCATAAAGGATCTTATCAGATATCTTAAAAGGGACAATGATACACATACCATTAGACGCTTTCTTGGACAAACGAGATTACTTCAGACGGATCTTGTAAAGATTCTTATACATCATGTTAAGAATATTGAGCTTTGGGATGTCTTGCTACGGTACGTGTTATTGTACAAGCAGAGTCGAATATATTGAATATGTGGTACATTACGGTCTCGTACTTGATATAAGGATGTAACATATACATATTATTCGATCTACATTGCTGCGATCTACATATTATTTTTACATTTCTCTTAAACAGGTTACTTATTAATTTGACAAGCTCCGCGTTTGTAATTTACAATGAGCAGATACCAACTGAGAAAACGATGTATAGCTTGTATCAACAAATCATTTCATATTTACAAGAGTATAAGGCAGCGTTATCTGATGAGAATGTGTGGTTAGCAATAGCTGGTCGTTTGGGAGATTTACTCAGTATTGTAAGTGAGAAAATTCTCTGTCTCTGTGATAGATAGCTTATATCATTTGTAAGATAATTTTTATTTTATAGACTACTATAGAAAGAGGAGAAGAAGATGAGTTAACAATTGAGAGAATTCTTGTTTTCATTAGAAATGTACTGCAAGTGCCACCTAATGACAATGATAAAAGAGCTGATAACGATGCCACTGTTCACGACGAGGTGAATAACTATGTTAACATTAGGACAAATTTTTTATTTTTTAAACGTATCATATCGAATATTGTTTGGAGTGAGTGACATACAGAATTTTTTTAATAGGTATTATTTGCATTTCATGCATCGGGCATGGTGGATATTTTATTGTTTATTGTCAGTAACAATCAGGAACAACACTATCACATGCAAGTTTTAGAGGTATATACTGCTCACTAGTTATATTTATTTTAATATTTTATATTTATTTACTATACTTTTTATATTTTTATATTTAAAATAATTCTTTGAAAATAATACCATAATATGGTTAAAAACTTATTTTTATCCGTTAACTTGTTACTCGTAAATAACAGTATTACACTCGACTAGATTATATCTTTAATGTTACGTGAGCAAAATGCGAGCCTGTTGGCTGCATCTGGGTTGCAACGTAGCACCGCTGAAAGGGAAAATGACGAGGCTAGTCTCGTAGCCTTGCGACAGAAAGAGCTACGCGAGAAAACGGACAAAGTAAAAAAATACGCTGGCTCAAGGTGAGTTTATACGTTTACATTATGTAGCAATAAAAAAAATTTATTAATTTATCAACAAGGTAATGCGAGTAAAAAATTAGATGTTCCAAAATTCGCGCATACAAAATGTACATTGCGATTCTTTGTGCCAGACATCGTACATAGTTATTATAACAATTCGTGTACGCGTATTTACTTTATGCCAGCTGATAAATTAAAAAGAACCGAGTGAGGGGAAAATAAATGTAAATTAAATTTTGTAACAAATTTTAAACAATTTGATATAAAATACTGTACTTGCAAATAATGCAGTTTAAAGTTAGCATTATGCGAAACGCGTGTTTGCTTGAAAATTCGCTTGCTCGAAAAGATTCGCTCGAGATCAATGATATCTGAATTAAAATCGCTCTGCAGATACGGGCTTAATTTGTCGATTTCTCTAATATGACGAAACGTGTCTTCGCAGCAATATATCTGCGAGGTTAATTCAGTTCTATTCATACGTCGTATTATCCGTACGTTTTTGCCGTGATACACGGGAGAATGCATTTAATGCGGGTAGCTACCGCGTAATTACCACTTTAATGAGCGGTCACAGCTAAAAGCCCGTGATCGTAAAAATGGGATGACTAAAAGGCGCCGATTGCTACTTGACGGATGCCTTTGGGAGTTACCGCGGTGTGTTCGCGATGCGATATGCGTATAATGAATATGACCTAGTTTTTAAGGTAGGACCACCCGAAGCATGAATAGAAGCTTTTATCCACTTGTTGGAGAGAAGCGAGCCGTATTCTTGTAACGAGCGCGTTCCAGATGCCCGTGGACGCGCGCATCCACGTCTTTGCGAAAGGCTTTTTACGAGTTGAAAGGGACTGGATGTGCGGTGAAAAGATCCCTCCGCCTTCCGCGTGTTCTCGATCGATCGATGGAAAGATAATTTGATCGGAAAACGATAAAGCAGCCGCCTAGCTGTGTCACGAACACAGATCTCTTTTTGATAGCAACAGTAAACATAGGAACAAAATTGGATAGCTGCGCGCCCGCGTACGTGGTGCTCGCCGCATCATTTTTATTATTTTATTTATTTCCATTTATTGTTTTCACATTACTCTCGTTCGAGGAATTATAGGAATTTTATTATTCGAGATCGTTCCCTTTAAAAATCATAATATTTTTATGTAGTTAAATGCAAATTTAAAATTATTGTACGTTCGAGTTTTATTTGTACCCGTACGTTTTGATTAAACTTTTCGAGAATTTGACTAATTGTTTAAAAATATTTCGTGGAGGATGATGAAAGTGAGTCTCTCTCGCTTCTCTGAAAGAAAGTAGGAGAAAGTGGTTAGGGGGAGGGAGGGATGCGCATCTTCGTCATTTAGAAAACTATCTGTCGTTGACAGCTGCCTTTCTATTCCATTGATTGAATCTTCGCTCATGGGCTCGCGGCTGAAATTGAATTCGAATGATCAGTTCTCTTTTTAGTAGCGAGGGAATCACGTTATGCTCGCTTCTCAATTCGTACGTAGAAACGCAAGGGAAGGGAGACGAGAAAACTAAACAGGAAATCCAATCTTTGCTCGAAACGTACATGCGCATATCGTTCCCTCGATATCGTGTTTTGTATTGTTATAGACACGTTACGTTTGCACCCTTGAAAAATTCAAGAGTACACATTTTCCGCTACGCGAATAAATTCAATCTTTGACGTTATGTTTTTTCATTCGATTAATTAGGCACTCGCGATTCGGCGGTACTTACGTCGTGGAAAATATGAAAGCTATCGGAGAAAATCAAATGATATGCCACCAACCGTATCAAAAGATCGAAGCACTGGAATTCGGTCACAATAAGGTAAATTTTGCAAATCGATCATTAATTCGTATCTTTTTTACTGTTTTCAAAAATGTCGAGGTAGCTCCGATTGTGCGTTACATTCGAATTATACGAACGAAACATGAAATAGAAGACACGTGTTTTTTTTGTAACAGAAAAGAGTGAAGCGACGCAAAGATAAAATGAGTCTGCAAGACCCCAAGGAGGAGCGCACGTCTGCCATCAGCGTGCGGCTCTTTCTAAAAGAATTTTGCGTAGAGTTTCTCAGCGGGGCGTACAACCCCGTGATGAGATTCACCAAATCTTGCTTTATCAGTGACACCCACGGCCACGCGGTGGAAACGGCCGTCTATCTGTGGGCCCTGCGTTTCTTCATGGAGTTCAATCGACATTACAAGTTCCAAGTGAAATATGTAAGGTAAATCTTCGCGCTTCAACTTTCTCATAGCTGTAGTCTACATTGTCGCATACCTCGGCTAAAGAGGCAGAAAGCGAGACAGTTTACGAACTCGTTTTACGCATCGTCGCTTTCTTTCGGATCCTGTCTGGAAAGAAAATTCCTCAGCGTCCGCGCGTACAGGAACCATCTAGCTTTACGTCATGGAATAATTTTTACGATGGCCGCGAAAGCGGAAATTATTAAATGGCAACAGGATGTCTGTATTAATATTATTTTTCCGAAATAATGAACAAGTATTTTTTTTTGCATCCGAAGGCTTTTTAAAATTTACTTCAGATAATAAAGGCTAGGTAACTGATCCTGTACATTTACACGGTTCTCGTTTACACAATGTATATTATGTAGTTTGAATTTTATTTACGATTCGTTAGCCGAGCTACGCGCCAATGTATACGATCCTCCATTTCTGTCGGATCAAATTTTATTGACACATTGTTTCAATGATACGGATTTTTTTTTTCACACTCGTGAACATATAAAATAAATTCTGTTTCTGTTGTTTACATCCTTTGTACGAATTTGAAATTTAAATATGATTAATAATTACAAGTGAAAACGTATTATTTTATTTTATTCAGCGAAACTATATCCACAGAAGTGTTTTATTTAGTCCAAAGACAAATGGAACAATACTACGAGATGATAATAGTCGATAAAAAAAAGACATCGCTTTGGTCTCGTAGATTGCATTTGGGATTAAAGGCGTATCAGGTAGGAAATTGCACGATTATCAGAATTGCATGTGAGTGTTTAGAAAATGTGAGAAAAGCCAACGAAAATATGTCTCGCGTTTTAGGAGCTTCTTAACACTCTTATGGTAATGGATAAGAGTACGGATAATGGTGTCAGAGAATCCAGCAAGATAATTAAAAGCAATATCTTTTACGTCCCGGAATATCGGGAAACGATACTCTCTCAGCTTTTGTGCTTCGATGAGGTTAAAATGTCACGGTGAGTGAGTAGAATTTCATCATTATTATTATCACCGTACGGAATAAATTGTGTAACTTGATCATCTTGATAATTTACGTATAAAAAATTGGCGGTTTTGAAAGTTTTGGAAAAGAATGGACTAATAAGAATTACGAAGGGAAATTATTAAAAGAAAATAGAAATGAATCTCACACGCGTAGTTACGTCTTATTGTTTCCATAATCACTAATCGTGCCCCTTTCAATTCGGCAGAATAAGTTGCTATTATTCGCAAATCCCTCGCGAATCTCTTGCAAATTTTAGCAGACTATATTAACGTAATGCAGGTATCGCGAAAAGTTATGCGACGCGTCGTCCTATGCCGAACAATTCACGTCTGTACTGGTAAATCCGCGTTGTGGAGAGAGGAGAGAAAGAGAGAGAGAGAGAGGGGGGGGGGAGGAAGGAGAGCGAAAGAGAGAGAGAGAGAGAACTCTTTACCGAAAGTTTTATCTACCGCAGACAGATTGATTCACTTTCGGATCAATCGGTTCGACCAGCCAGGAAGCCACTCCGGCTCCCGTCGATGCCTTTCCTTTTCGACTATTTCTCTTCTTCGGCGGCTGGTCTCGGTAGCTCGCACCCGCCCGGTTTCTTCCTCCCTTCTGCGATTCCTCGGCGGAATAAACAACTTTTATCGACCTTCCGGCCGGCGAAATGGGAAAAGGCGGTGGGCGTTCAACTTGCTACGAGTTTGACGGGTTTTGCGCGGATTTCCACGACGGAAATGTAAGGGCGGCGCGACGCGACGTACCGCAATGCCACGTTGCTGCTACTTTGACGTTACGGGGACGCTGACGAAAACAGGACGACGGTTCCGTCAAACTTTGGCTTTGACGGCGGTAGCGCGCGTTGCCGGAACTAAATTGACAAATTAATGCGCGAGTAGCGGGATTGAATTAATTTCTTGTCACAGTGAAGGAAGGAAGGCGGTTTAAGTTCCACTATCCGCTTAAAACAATGTAATTACATAAATACGCTCGTCTTTCAGGCAGTACTTAGTGGATCTTATAACGACTGTTCATATATTTCTAAAAATGCTTGAGCACTTCTGCCAAAAGGGCCAACGCAGTCTCGTAATTCAAAAAGTAAAGCCAAAGAGAAGAAAGGCTGAAAAAAGGAAAAAAAGTAAGAGCTTGTTTTTGTATTGATTGTTAAAGAGTTTTAAGTAATATGAAATTAAATTTTTTTATTGCGAAAATCGTTCGATTTTTTTTAATTATTAGAGTCTACTCAGGAAAATGCAATTACGGCTCCTACTTTGGAAGAACGTTGGGATACTGTCGGTCCTGAATTATCAGCTGTTATGCGCGATGCCGTTATACCTGTAGTGGTGCCGTTCGATGCAACCTTAGATACACCTATCGACGATCAAAAGTACGTGTAGCATTGTGACGGTTAAAATAATGTTTACTTTATTACTGATGTTTGTGGAAATGATTGAAAATACGCATCTATGTTTTACAATTTTTTTTTTCGTCCTGATTTGTAGAGCGGATGCCATGAAGAGAATCCAGAAATTAATGCGACAGAGGAACTTGGAGCAGGCAGTTGGTCTTCTACGTGCAGCAAGGTAAGGAATTGTTTATTTTGAGAAGCGATTTCCTGAAAGTAACTCGTTGCCACTCGTTCGTATTGGAATAAACAATGTTGTTTATTGTTGTTTATTTTGAGAATCAGTTTTGCATCTAAACCACATTGTCATGCAATGCGACGAGTGAGTGGTTTTAACTTCTTTGTTTAGGTACTTTGTTTAACTGAAATATACGAGAGGTTATTGATTGTAATAAAAACTTACGTATAATTTTTCGCTTGTAATGTCGTAACATTACTTACATGACTTATTCCACTGATTTTTGCGAATCGATCGGAGCAAAAAATCGGGATTAAGGCATTAGTTAGCTAATAAATAATGAGTTTTCAAATCGCATTTGATTGTGCTGAAGCGGCTGCACTGGGCATCAATCTTAAGTTAGCGCAAACAATTTTTACACTCGGCGGAAAAGTGTCGTGCTGATAATTTTCGACACTGCTAGCAAAAGTAAAAATTGTTTTAATAAATCAAACCAAATCCGAACTATCGCCAGAATCGAAATTTGTCAATAGGACATCTTTCCGTCGAATATCGTGCTGTCATGAATATTCAGAAGTTTCAGAATTGTGTAAAAATGAATAATTGTTGTCTTGAAACGCTGTATAATTATGAAATTAATTTAGAATTAACAGGAATACTTGACAGATGTAATATTTGATGGGATGTAGTACATTAGAGGGAGATGCCCATGTGCCGTGCTGGAACATTAAGTTAGCATGTTATTTTTTAATTCTTTTTTTTTTATATTGAAAATGTGGAACATTTTTTAATGATTATTAGGAACAGTAAAATTATGAAAAATGTTATTGAAACTATTATTTTTTAAAAATTAACAAAATGTGCTAATTTTACAGACACATTTCTGATTATATAAAAAAAAGTTATAATTTGATTCATCTTCTATTCTATTCATGCATTATTTATTTATTTATATATAATATTGTGATATACTTATTAGATAAAATTTATGACTTTATTATTCGCATTATTTAAAAAATTAATCTCTTAAAATAAATTCTAAAAAAAAAACGGTTCTTTTGCGAGTGAACGGTTGATGAAAAACTTATTATACTCTCTCACGATTTTGTTAGGCTTGATCGTAATTTCTATAATATATTAATTACGCTTATTGAGCTTTGAGATTTTTTCGGCTTTGTGCATCGACCAGTCACACGGCCAATTAACTGGCGAAAAGCCAAGCGTTTGCACTGCCGCAGATATTTACATTACATTAAATCTGAAAGGGATCTACCGCGCTCTTGTAACGCGTTGGTATACACCGGTTCACCGGGGTGAACCGGTATCCAACTAACTCTTTGAAGTGTTCCAGCTCTAAATGTGCCTATGAGTCATGTCCCTCCGTCAACTTGTTTCTGCGTTCCACCTCGCCAACCCTTCTCTCGCTCTAAGGCTTAATCGCCGCCTCGATGCTTTTCCGCGAGATTCGATATACCCCACGCTGATAAACTCTGTCGACGTGTAAATAGATTCTTTACGCGGCTTGTCTCAAAGCATTTTCGTCTTTACGCTAACCGCGTACAGAGATCACGAGCGTCTTGAGTCATTTTTCTCGTTCAGCAAATATCATCGAGAGAGAGAGAGAGAGAGAGAGAGAGAGAGAGAATGTCACCTGAATTTCATAATGTGAAACTGCCTTGTCGGTGACATTTAAAAATAACACTGTAACGCTAAGACGACTAGTTTCAACTGGGGATACCGGATACGAGACGTTGTACCATTAATCTTTAACTTTATTAGTTCTATCAGATTGGAGTGCCGTGATATAACCGTCGGGATAAAAGTCGGTTTTATCGTCGCCGCCTTCCTCTATCATAAAGCTATGAAATTATAGTCCCTTCCGCGATTTTTCTTTACGCGGTATCATCGCCGCGAACTACTTCGGGAGATTGTACGTAATATTCCGCCGTCCATTTTATGGGGAGGTAATGTTTACTATGGCCGGTACACAATGGGAGTCTGCAGGACCATACCGACCTTGTGCACACAAGGGGATAAAAGTAGCAGACTGTTGACTACGCCGTATATAGAGTACGCCTAGGCGCAGACAATATTGTTAATAAGGCATTTACGGTAATACGTAGGTACGTAAGACAAACAATGTAATACCCCCTATTCTCCTCGCGTACACGTCTTCGTTTCTCGGTTACGGGTAGTGCTTCTGGTAATCGTGTTTCGTTTGCCTAGCAAATACTCCGTCGTCTGGCTACCGGTTTTAGCCCTCTAATTTTCCATTTGCACCGTCTGCGACCCTCGTACCGGTACAGTGATTTTAACTTAAGAATTGCGTAAGATGATTACGGGAATAAAAAAGAATCTGCGCCCCGATTCATCATTTTCTTCTCTTCATCTCTAAATAATCTGCAGTGCAGTAATGATTTCATTGTTTGCAAAGCGCCAGTTGAAATTTCCTTTCGCTTCTCTATGTATTTTGGAACATTGTGATTAATATATAGAAGCAAAATCTAGTTTGTTCAAGTACATTGGAAGTACCTATTTCTAGGTACAACTTTATCTTCTTGGTATATAATTAGGAGAATAATAGAAAAAAAAATGAGAATATCTTGTACAGAGAAATAAAAAGAAATAAAAAGAAATTGCTACAAGTGTGACAGTGTAAATATATTTAAGAGCTTTTCTGTGACAATTTAATATCCAAGTCTAAAGGCTGATTCATCACTTTGAGTCTTTGCCAAGCATGAAAATGGACGTGTCGAAATTATCTATTTCATGTCTGGCAAAGCGGTATCGGCTTGTATGTCGGAACGCTGAGTCGGGGGACGACGACGACGACGACGATGACTACGACGACGACGACGACGACGACGGGCACGGCGCGTCTGAGAGATTCCATTGTCGCGGAACTTCAAATCGAGGGATAATGGGGATTGTATGCTGCTGAATTTCTATTCAGGCAGCCAGAGCAGCTAGCAGTAGCGCCGTACGAGCCACTTCTTCCGCTTCGGGGACAGCACCCTTCCTCTTCTTTTGCGTCCTCTTCCTTTGCGAATGCTTATTGGATTCATCTCCAGCGGAGAGAATTTCGGAAAGCTTTCGAAAGTGGACCGGGAACTCTCCCGATCCGCGAACTTAAAACACGCGAATCGTGATTAGCGTCCGAAACGACAAGACTGGATTTTTTATCCAAAATGGCAGTAATAAAAATATCAAAATTAAGAATGAATGAATCTTTTTATAAGCTTATTTTTATTAAGTTTTAATGATGCACGTCGATAAAAAAATTATTTTTCCAATTTCAAGTATTACTTTGCCAAAAGGATAGAAACTTTAATTATTACACGCACAGGCTTTTAATTTAATTTAATAATATATATTTAGTAGAACTACAGTGAAAAAGATCGTGGTTACATTTGACATTTCATAACGATTCTGGTTTTAGATTTTACCTTTTTAATGTTGTACATGCGCTAGCTGTGATTCATCTAACGTATATTGTATGGATTACGTGTCTGCTCGCGTGTAAACGTGGATGGACTCGTGTCCGGACTTGATTTCAACCCGAGTCGCATATTGTAGAGCGTATGGATGTGTGTCGCGTGTATACGCATAAAACGAAACACGTTCTGTGTGCATACGTATCCGCGTTAGAACCCGTTGTCCATACGCTTCGCTTTTATATATAGTACAATTGTAACTAAGTGCGATTTCATGTCAAGTGACCAAATTCAATTCTCTGGATTTTAATGCGACTCCGGCGCTATTAGGGCGGACTAAAGTAGGAACGATTTTCATTATCAATCGCGCGGTGCTGTGACAATGGAAGAAGAAAAGATTTTTATCGCCATTGTTATTTTTACAGCTAAAAGCTGTGATTACATTGCAGAAGTATTGATAAAGAAGTCCATCGTCGTAATATTATAATTTTTATTTTACTCTTTATACTTACTTCGCGATTTCTTGTTTTTCTTCTGTTTCAATATTATGTAAATTTATGCTCAATTGTCTATAAAATCAGAATTTGTCACGGTTGTAATCTTTTCTAATTGTAGACTTTCGTAGACTTTTGTTTACAGATTATAAAAATTATTCTCGCAAAGTATAATTTCAAAATAAGTAGCAAAATTTCAAAATTTAATTAAACGTGATTTAATGTATTATAAAATTGGAATTGAGTAATGATTGTGATAATCTGCCGCAAGAATTTTAATAATAATTTTTTTGTTTGTCATATACATATAATAAAATGTTTTGACAAATCTAAATTTTATAGATATTGAATTGCTTGCAAGAAAGCAATTCTCAATTATTAAAATAAAATTCTGAGTATAAAAATACATAAATTAGAAGGCAACGCAAGATTTCTTTTTCCATGAGAATATATTTTTTAAAGCTCTTTACCTTTTTATATATGGTTATAAAACTGTAAACAGATATCTGTAGTAAACATTCAAAACGAATGAAGTGATGTTTGAGAGCCATACCGTTATGTAATGTAAGGTTAAAAGTGTTCCACCATTAGCTACACCTTTCTTCGTTCCTGAAGAGACGTGACTTTACCTTTGTTTCCTAGTCACGTTCGCACACGACCATCTGTTCTCTTTTTTCTGAATTCTCATAAAGTATATAGGGTGTCTCTGATCCAACTAAGCCGGCTTTCATATATCTTGGATGTAATTTTTTTTTTTTTAACAAAAGCGTGTTGAGAGATCAATGGTTTGTAAATCAAAAAATGGGAAATAAGTACTCAGAGAGAGACAATATCAAATAGAGAGAGATAATATCAAAGAATAGAAGCATCTTTATACGAGTAATAAATTTTTTAAGTCTTGATGAATAAAATTTTTTAAATACATGAGATCGTATGTAACATGACCTCTGAAAATTTTAGTTCCTGAATTTTGCAGAAACGATTCTGAATCGCGAACGCTCATCGTGATAAATTTGAACGATAAATTTGACGGAATTTAAATATGTAGATTGAAGCTTGCTCTTTTTGTTATTTTCTTCGAAAGTTTTTCCTCTTTCTTACGCTGCCTCTTCCTTACTTCTTCGTCCGACGGTGGCAGTGGCACTTTACGCTTTGTGGCCCTAAGATACACAGATACTTTGTAAAGGAGATGCATGTGTGTCAGTATCAAGCGTAGCGTAGGTAGGTGGGTCGGCGAAGAATGAGGGTTGGGTGTGAGCACTTGACGCAAGGAGTCCGATGTTGGTGTAGATCGTGGTGAGGCTCTCATGCTCAAAGGAACCTTCTATGAGACTCATTGAGTTTGCCACTCGGACTTCTCATCGCGTCGCTGCACTGCACTCTACCGAATCTTCCTTAGTCGTATAACTTGAGATAATGAACTTGCTTTATTTAATCACATCGACCTTATTAACATGAACTCATTATTTATACGATTAGAAATCTTTTATATGATCCGTTGGGAATCTCAATAATCTCGCAATTTAGGAAAAGTGTTAACTTGAAATAATTTTTTACAAAAAATTCTTTCTGGTTAAAAAATTGCAATTTAGTTTTATAAAAATTAAAGGTTTTTTTTTTTAGTTTTTAATAGTTGGATATGATATTGCAACGTATCTAATTTTTCGTCTCTCGCGGTCCATAACAAAAAATTCAACTATCAATAATCTTTAATATGTGATCTCTCAAACTTTTTAGTCTTACGAAATTTGTAGTTTGTGCAGTAATAAGTTTACAATAAATTGTATATATGAGAATGTTACATTGTTGCATTAGAGCTGATAAACTGTTTGCTCGGCGTAACGTTATCATGTTATCAAGTTATTGTTTTGCTAGACTTCGCTCTTATATTATAGTTATTAACATTATTATATTTTACACACAGATATTAAACATAGATTTTCGGGTGAAATTATGTTACAGAGAAATCTGGCCCGAGAATGACTGCTTCGGAAAAGTGGACATACCTCCCGAGGAAGAATTCCTGGCTCTTCGCGAGATCTTCTTTGCTGATCTGGGCGGTAAGTCATTTTATTTTTAATTTTATATCCTTGGTAATGGAACATAAGCGCTTCTCAAGTGCTGTTCTTAAGGTCATTTAAATAAAATTCGCAACAATATGCGGATTAAGCGAATAGAAAACGAAACGTCAACGTATTGACAATTACTGGCAACTCATTCGAAATAGATTTAAAACTTGGTACTTTGAAAAGCACGGGTCGTTAGCACTTTTTGATCTCCCGAGGATTACTAGTACAACTTCAGTCTATCGAGAAACTTATATCCTCTCTGCATACATAACCCTGTGAGAAAAGAGTAGCTCCTGCTTTGCGTCCGCCTAATTATAAAGAGCAAAGTCTGTTATTAAGTTAAAGCATGGAAGTAATGAGCTGTTTTCCTTCCTTTACGAAGGAGAGTTCGTTACGACTGCTGATTTATTGAATTATAAAGTTTATTCAACATTTTGGAAGAAAAACGTGGACGTACAAAGTGCACGAATAATTGCACTCCCTCCCTCTTTATATTTTCCATTAAGAAAGCATCGTAAGAGAAACAAAGATATATTAAATACACGAATTCATTTGAGGCGCGTTATAATAATCGTCTCTAGCAGGGACGATTTGTAATAACTGGCGCATATATCACGACACAAATTTAATTAAACGCGCCGTTGGTATTCATTTCACGCGCCTAATTTATGTGTGAATAACTACGCTATTCAGTGCCGAGATTTCGCGACGATCCGAGCTCGCCATGTATTTATCTCTGTTCATTACCACCACAATAATAGCTGCCATAGACATTTAAAATCTTTTAATTTTAATGTTACGCTCTTTTACAAACAAGAGCTTATTTTAATGAAAGAAGATAATGGTTGAGTTTTAAAATTTCTCTAAGTTAATTTGAAATGCAAACAATTTTATTCTACAAAAATTGCTACTGTTTTGAGCATTGTACGGATTGAAGTACGTAAAGCGTGACAGATCGGAGTCTCTTTCATAATTTAAAAAAATTTTGGAAGGTAATTTAAAAATTAAAGTTTATAAAATTTCTAATGTAAAATTTATAATTGAGATAGAAACGGATATTTTAAAAAATTTTTCTTTTAAATTGTATTTCTGAGATTTTTCTGGCTTAAAAAAATTAGTGTAAAATTATCTATTAGACATTTATCCGTTATGAATATACTCTAGTAATGTTTCGTTACACACTATGCGTTCGACTTCCTTCCGTCATCGCTCGCCACGAATATCAGTATAATAAAGAACGTTTACGATCGCATGAATTACGATCCGTTGCACTGAATTCCACAACTTACGACATGACAATACTGTCATGTGGACCTTATTCTATAGATGGCAGCGGGCTGACATAGTCGTTAAATGTTAATCTCTCTCTTTATATTCTGCCAACCGTATACCGTAGTCGTCGTGCAGTATTCACCCAGAGGGTGTTTTATATAAAACATCAGCGCCGACATCCAGACTGTTTTATTTTACGACGTGAGTACGTCTGTGAAGCAGCTCCTCCATTATCTCCACCACGCGTCAGAATCTCGCGCGCAATCTTTACGCATTAACCGATTCCTCTTGCTCTTCCCTCTCTGCGAGAGAAATGATTTTCAAGGGGGACAAGACCTTATTTTTTATTTACCTTTGTCAAGCGCACTTTAGTGCACTCTGCGCGACAGAATCGCTCATATAAATATCTAATGTTACAAAATTGAGGATTTATGACGATGACTCGTTCTCGGAGTTATAATCTCGCCAAGGAATAATTTATTTTAAGATCGTTAAAGCACTCGCGGAGAGACAAAATCTAGCTTACTGTACTCCCGGAAGTACCTAAGTCTTACATTTTTACTTAATTGCTTTTAGCTTGCACAAAAATATTGCGTTTGATATTATAATCGCATCTACCGACAGGAGCGATTCAACAAAAAGAAGTTATCTGCTAATAAAAACAAATATATTCCGGTGTCTGGTGCACTGTATAGATTTTGTCGCGGGGAAGCGAAATCAGTCGATCCGAAGTACTGGCTTCGTCGATTGAAGTTGTTTTTCCGCTTCGGCTACCCCGGCGTACACTTTATGCGTTCGAATGATGGCCGATACCTCGCGACTCGGCCATATCCCGATGGTTTTGCATACGCTGTACATAATGGAGTATCTGTTTCATGTTGATAAAGCACCCCGCGAAAATTGACGGGTTATTCGCGAAACAAGCTCTTCGTAGCTTACATTTCGCAGGAAAATACGAGAGCCGCCAGAATACGCGATTAATCTGTATAATATACGCGCGAAACTGTTTATAGTTGTTACCCGTTATATCGATTTTGTAGTTTAAAATGACCGTTCGCGAAGTGTGAATAGAACTTATGAAGGTTCTATTCTTCGTCTTTCGAAATTCTGCGCGATATCGCGGACGAAAATAACGGTGACATCTTAAAATTTGAATTATAGTGTCTTTACATGTTCATGTGACAACTTGGACATCCTAGATGCTCTCCAAGTAAACTGTCCCCTTGGACTTATTAATGATTCGGGAAGAAAATAGCTTTACGATAACTTCGTAGAAAGGAGGTCACAGAGGTCAGATCGGGAGAGGAACAAACGATTATTTGTCATCCGTGACAGGGATACTTCATCAACAGCATTTATAAATAATCGCGATCAATATCGGATAGGTTTCGTAGCATACCGGAAGGCTTTATTTATTCATGTCTGTCTGCGAGTAGAACGGTACTGCTGCCATGTATAAAGTATACGTTTCATCGACTTGCACGAGTACAAAGTATGAGAATAGGGAGCGGAGGAAGATGTGCTGTACTTCGGCACGATTTTTCTCTCTTCTCCTCGCTCGATTCCAACTTGTTAGACCGAATGGGTGATGGATGCTCGCGTGTAGTCAGCCCATGTGTTCTTTTCTCCCCGAAGTCGAGGGTTTGATGAATGAAGCTCGAATTGAAAAGTCTTGGCGGAACGTCTGAAGCGCGGCGACGAAATTTGCATGCCGCGATCGTACGAACGACCCTTCCGGGTTTATTATTCCGTTTGTACACGTTTGGTTAACTAACGCATTTTATCAAGGGAATTTTTTTATTACATCAGTAATCCACGAATCCACAATGTTTATCGTAGCGAAATTAATTTTTAATGTAAAGTTATAAAATGAACTCAAGCACGGACACACATCGCCGTTTTATTTATATATCTCTGTGTGACGAAATATTATATTAATGTAAAATCTTTTTCCACTCGCAAGGATGTTCGCGATAATTTCCCATATTTTTCAAGTACTGGACATTTCAAGTAGTTCCATAGATCTTTTCACTGTCCCCACTCATCGAGTTTATACCATCATAATAACTTTCCTTATTTACCGTAATACGGCAGAAAGTCATCTCTGACATTTCCTGGAAAAAGTACCGTGTACCTAAAATACGTAGATTGGAGGCGCCGGATCTCGGCTGTATGTCGAGGAGAAGAGGAGAAGTGGCTTCGAGAGGTATGAAAGAACTTTTATCGGGGTGGAAACTTCGTCTTCCTTTCGAGCGGCGTGAAGCCATAGGAACGAACGAGAATTATTTAGTGCAAGACGCGGGGGTAAACAACAGATGTACTACCAACGTTTGTTCCGAGTTTTATTCTTTTTCGCGCAACTTCTGAAGCGACCCTCTGACGATTCTTCTCTTCTACGTTCGGTAGAATGAAGATGTTATCGAGGAAATATGCATTATTCGCAATCAGCTTGCACTTTGCGTTGCGTTGCGTGCCGGTTGAAGGAATTGAAGTTAACGAGCAATAGCGGGGATTGGCATTTAGAGCGCAAATCCCTACAGCTCCGTTGAATCCTTTACAGCACACTAAGCTCCATTGATTATTTCGCCTCTCTTTTTTTCCTGCGGTATTATCCTTCTTACTTCGCTATAGCGACACGGCAGAGCAGTAATCAGATCGAAACGACGTTCCGGCGGATTTGAAGCAAAGCGAGGGCTGAAATTTACATCCTGTGCTTGCTCGAGCGATCGCTACCATATGTTTGCACATTCTCGTAACGTCCCTCCTTCTTCCCGGACATTGGTCCTTGAGGTAATTCCGGCAGAATCGCCCGCCACGTCGCTTTCCTCGATCAAATTGCAACTTGCAATTGTACTGTATTACCTTACGCGATTTCGAGACAAGCCGGTATAATGTTGTTTGTTGAATTTACATACAAAGTTTTATGTTTCTAGCAAAAAATTATCGTTTTGGAAATCAGTGCAAGAATCTGCAACTTGTTTTTTCGAAGAAAGATTGGATATAAAAAAAGCCATTTTTAAAAATTGCTCCGTATAGCTGATGAATGATTCATGTGTTTAAATATATTTCTTTTCAAGGACAACTTTGTTTGCGGACAATATCGTTAAATATTTGTCACGTTTATGTTTTTATATCAAGCAGTCCCCATTTACGTCTTTTATTCACTTCATTTAATATAGATTTTCAAATGAATATTTTATACGCGAATTCAGGAATCCTTTGAATTACTTCTTATGAAGAACTACAAACGTTTGTGTACACGAGTGTCAGCTAGGTATCGAGTGGAACGTTCCGAGGGTGCTTCAGCCCGACATTTAGCGGTGTTTTAGTATCGAGGAGACAACCGCGACGCGTTAATGTTTCTTTTTTGCCGTTTTGCCCCGGCGCGGCGGTGTCGGCGATACGATAGCCTCTTCCCTAAACGATGTATAACCATTAATATGCAAAAGCGGTACTCAACGAGTTCATTCATTTCATCATGCCTTCCCCTGTCGCTCGTTCTCCCTTTCCCTTTCCTCATTGGCGGTAGATATTTTATCTTCGCCATTCTTGTTCAAGGGTATACCTTGGGAGATATTCATGTGAAATATATCCACTGGCTTTTCTCTTTCTTCCGGCCTCTAAACCCGTCGTGGGGGAAGAATCAGCAGTTAAAAAGAAAGAAAGATAACCAAGAGGGTGAATGTTACTCTCGACGCTATCTGAAGCGGTTATAGCTA